CTTCCCTTTCTGATTTCTTTCACTCTGTACTTAGAGGATGCAAACTGAGTTTTTTTCTTTTTCTTTCGTTCTTTTGTCTTTCAATCTCTTTTCTCTTCCCTGTCCCTTTCTTCCTCCTTTTTTATGTCTATCTTTTCTTTCCTATTCTTTTTTGTCTTCCGTCTATAGATTTACCACACTAAGGTAGAGGACCTCACGACCAAAAAGTATATTCCAGGATGTCTCCTGGACCAGACATAATACATCAGTCCCTTTTAAAAACATACAAAACAAAACAAAAAAAAAATTTTAACCTGCTATTGCTTGACTCCCTCAACCCCAAGCCTGAATTAGTTCGTTGTAAATTCATCTTTATTGTTGTTGTCCTTCCTTTAATGCAGCCTAATCAACATGCCGTGTATTACAACAGCAGGGATCCACTACCGCCTGTTAGCTTATTTAATTAGTATTTTTAACCTGGAAAACTGTAGAGCCGTTAATTTGCAATTATGAAAATGGAGCTACTTCGCAGTCCCTCCTGGTTCCTGAGGGATTTCTCAAAGTTTGCAAATTTCATCTCCATCAAAATAGATTCCAAATAGTTCTCTGATGACGGGATTGTCCACTGACTCAACTTAAATATGTGTGTGTGTGTGTGTGTGTGTGTGTGTGTGTGTGTAGGGGAACCTGAAAAAAAATGAGCTAGACAGTTTTCCTGCCTCGAGTTTATGATGACTTCCTATTGACTCCCGGGATTTAACAGGAAATTGATACGATATAAATAGATAACTTCCTCTTTTTTTTTTCCTTTTGGTTCACTGGCGGTTTCATTTGCTCTCCACCAGATCACAGAAGTTAACAATAACAATGATTGAGCAATTAGCTCATTTTTGACAGATGAAATGTATAAGACAATTTATAAATCTATGTATGTAAAGTGTGTGTATACACGCACCAAAGCTGATAGATGTACGCTAGGACTGACTGGATAACGTCAAAGAGCACTTCTAGAACAAATATTCTAAGATTCTATGGACATGTCTAGTGAGCCCAGGAGATAGCAAAGTCCTACCATAGACTAAAAGTTTCTTGGGGGCAGAACTGTGTTCTATTTAACCTTTTACTCACTCCTCACCCATCACCCTTTATCCCCCACATACAAAGTCTTCACATTTAATTATTTATTGACTTAAGTCAATGAATTGTTTTCGTTATGGAACAGAGGCCAAATCTGTTATATTATCTTTTTTAAAAGATGTTGTTTTTTTCATTCAATAAATAAGGAATTAGGTTAGTTACATTCGGTCAGATCAAGCCTAATTAGATTAGATAAGGAACTCTAAAGGCAGCATAACTTTATTGGATAGAGAGCTGGAAGAGTCAGGAATATCTGCATTCAAGTACTGAATCTCACACATCTTGGATGTGTGTTCCTGAGCAAGTCACAACCTCTCAGTCCCCCTCCCCTTCCCCCTCCCCACAACTAACGGGGAAGACAATGTGCAAACAACCATGTACAAACAAGCTGCATACAAGATAAATTGGAAATAATCAACAGTGGGAAGGGACTAGAATTGAGAGGGATTGGGAAAGATATCCATAGAATAGGACATTTTAGCTGGGGCTTGAAGGAAGCCAGGACAGCCAGTAAGCAGAGATGAGGAAGAAGGGCATTCCAGGCTCGGGGAACAGCCTGTAAAAATGTCCAGAGTTGGGACGTGGAGTGTCTTGTGTGAGGAGGAGCAACAGAACAACATGGGAGCCAGTCACTGAATCTCATAATATGTGGGGGTGGGGAATAAAGTGTGGGAAAGGTGGAGGGGCATATTATAAAGGGCTTTAAAAGCCAGAGGATTTTATATTTGATTGTGGAGATATGTATTCCCTCGAGTTTATTGTCACTGCTCAGGGAAATCTGCTCCAAGGGGAGGGTCAGCCATAGCAACTGTTCTTGTAACTTAAAGTCTTGGGGAATTGCCTGGAAGACTGAGAGGTTAAATGGCTTCTCCAGAGGTGAAGAGTTAGAGTCAGAGACAAGACTTGAATCTCAATGTTCCTGACTCTGAGACATACCGTATCCACTATGCCAGTGCTACCTCTGTGAAAGCCATTATGAGAAAAAAATTAAGCAGCTGGTTTAAAATGTTAGAATGTTAGAACTGAAAGGGGATTTAAACATCTGATATAGATCTCCTTTTACAAATGAGGCAGCTAAGACCAAGAGATTTACCAAATGTCACATGGATTGTAAATGAGAGCTGGGATTAGTTTCCTAGGCTAGCATTCTGTCCCTCTGAGAGAGAAAGCCCAGAAATATCCTTAAGGTGTCTCAGACTTCCATGGAAGGCTACGGAACTCCTGGGACCCTACAGCAGGTCTCAGCAGCTCCTTCATTCTTCTTTTTGTGATAGCTTCCTTAGTAACCTACCAACTTCTTATTGTCATACTACTAGAGCACTCAGTGTCAGCTGAGGTTTGCCCCAGCCCTGATAACTTGCTGTCTCCGTATCTAATCTGGATGACAACATGAACAGTCTATTAGACTTCAGCATTTTACAAGGGAGTGGGGTTGGAAGGGGAGAGAGAAGAAAAGGAGGAGGAGGAGGATGGGGATGCAGGCTAAAGCCCAGAATAAATGCCTAGCTGTTCCTGTGGACAGTGAGTGGGGTTGAGTCCTGGTCTCAAAGCAGTGAAGTTTTAACTCCCAGTGCATGTTCAAAACATGTCCAATTGTATGTGATTTTTTTTTTGCTGATAAGAGTTATTGTTCTCCTATAAGTAATACTTATACTAATAACTGCTAGGTTTCCAAAGTGTTTTACAAGTATTGTTGCATTTGATCCTAACAACAACCTTAAGTAATAGATGCTGTTATTATACACATTTTAGAGATGAGGAAACTGAAGCTCAAGAAAGTTAGGTGATTTTTTTAATTAAAATTTTTTAAATTAAATTAATTTTGTTACATTTTAACTTCTGAACTGTCTCCTTCCTTCCCACCTCACACTAGAGAAGGGCACCACTTGGCATATTATATATGTGTGTGTGTGTGTGCATGTATGCATATATGATGTGTGCGTGTGTGTGTAAAACCATACCATGCGTACTTCTATTTATCAGTGAATAGCATCTTCCTTTATAGGTCCTCTGTAGTTGACTTGAACATTTACAACACTCAAAATAGCTTAGTCATTCACAGTCAATCTTCAAACAAAATTGCTTTTACTGTATATGGCATTCTCTTGGTTCTTCTCATTTCACTATTCATTATTTCATGCAAGGCTTTCAATGTTTTTCTAAAATCAACTGGCTCCTCATTTCTTACAGCACAATAGTATTCCATCACAACCATATACCACAACTTGTTCAACTATTCCCCGATCAATGGTCATGCCCTCAATTTCCAGTTCTTTGCCACCACAAAGAGAGCTGTTACAAATATTTTAGAACATATAGGTTCTTTTTCTTTTTCCCTGATCGCCTGGGGTTTCCTAATAGTGGTACTGCTAGGTCAAAGGGTATAGACAGTTTTATAACTTTTTGGGGCATAATTCCAGATTGCTCTCCAAAATGATTGGTTCAGTTCCCAGTTCTACCAATAGTATATTAGTATCCCAATTTTACCACTTCCCCTCCACTATTTGTCATTTCCCCCTTCAATCATTTTAGCCAATCTGATAAAAGTTAGGTGATTTGCCCAGAGCCACATAGCTAATTAAATATCAGAGGCAGAATCAGAAAGTTTTTATTTTTTTTAAAACTTTGTTATTTTGAACTTGACGAACATCAAAAAGCTCAAGCATTTCCACATATACAGAATATAAAGGGGACTGTACATGAAACTAGTAATCTTTATTATATAGAAATTTTATTTTTAAAAGAGTATAATAAATTCATATTTCATGAAATTTGTTTCAAAACTATTCCATATCTCCTGAATTTGACTTAGTATTTGAACCTAGGTCTTCTTATTCCAGTATTCTATCATGGGTTTATTATAAGATGGGCAAAATGTTCTATGTGGGATTTCATAACCACAGATGTTTCAAGGGATCTTAGAGGTCACTTAGTCCTACTTATTTCCTATTTTGCAGTTGAGGAAACTGAGACCCAGAAAGAAGAAATTATTTGGCTAAGTTATTTAGCTAGTTAGAAGAAAGGGGGAGGGAAAGGAGAACTGTCTCCTGGGTCAAAGTTCTTTTCCTCCAATTACAACAGTAAAAGCAGGGCTTTGGCATTAGCTCTGAATTGAAAGACAAATGACTTACATTCAGATCTCAGTTCTTCAATTTGTTGTCTGTGGATATATCATTTCCTCTTTATATAGAAATCAGTTTCTTTTTTCTACATCTCCCAGTGTTTACTGCTATTTGACCACTCCTGCCTTCCGGATAGTTATTCTGTGGGTTTTCAAAACATCATCAGTTCTTCAAACTGTCTGACAGATACTCCTTGCAGGCTCCACCTGAACTGTTGAAATGACCTTCTGATTGGTCTCCCTTCATCTAGCCTTTTCCCTTTCTAATTCATCCTCCCTGAAGTTGCCACATTGATATTCCTAAATCACAAATCTAGTTATTTCATTTTCTGTTCAAGATATTTTAGTGTGTCCCTGTTGTCTCTTGGCAAACATGACATTTAAAGCCCTTCACAATGCAGTTTCAAACTATCTTTCAAACAATTTAGCTATTACTCCTTCCCATGCAATCTAAACCTAACCAAAGTAGCCCACTTGCCATTCCCCACATACCACAGTCTGTCCTTCACTATATTTTTGCCTCTGCGCAGTTATGTAGGTGCCCCACAACTGGAAAACTGCCCCTCCTTAGTTCTGCCTGTTGGAACTCCCAATTTCAAGGCACAATATAGTGCCACCTTTTAAAAGGAGCCCTTCACAATTCCCCATTTCTTGGTGCTGTCCCCCTTCCCAGAAAGTATTTTTCTCTTTATTTTGTACTTATTTATCTGTGTACAGGTTGTTTCCCCTCCCCTGCCCCCAGTAAGACAAAAGCTCTTTGAAGTCAAGGACCATTGTGTTTTTATCTTAACTCACAGTACTTAGAACAGTGTCTGACATGTTACAGGTATTTAAACAATTCTTGTTGAATTTCCTTATTACTGTAAAATGGGGGGATTAGAGCATCTGTGAGGTCTCTTCCAGTTCCTTCAAGGCCTTCAGAGCCTGTGAGGCGATGAGCATGTGGTTCCCAGATTCAATGTGAGGAAGAAGAGGCAGAAGACCCTGAAACTGTTAGCCTCAGATCAGCAACATTCATGGGACTCAGGGTAGGATTATAAACTCAGTCTCTTCCTTTTGGTTAAGAGTGCTCTGGAAACTACCTGCTGTGGTAAAATAATGAGCTTATCATTCAATTGTTTTAAAAAGAAAAGCTACAAGAATAAGCCCCCTAGACAATGAATTCATTATCACAAAGTCAAGTCTGGGAAACCTTTGGAGCGTAATGGGATTCAAATTGATTTAAATTGACTTTTCAGCCTAGGTCTTCTTGGCAGAATGAGGTCCAAAGTTGGGTCCAAATGAGGTCCAAAGTTAGCTAAGTTGGGATCCTCCTTTGATAGAGGCTTAATGTTCCTGTCCACAAAAAGATGATAATACTTCCCCCTCTTCCCCAGACTTTATGAGTAAAATAAAAAGACTTGTCAATGGATTTCAATTGCAATACTTCAATTAGAGAAAATACTGAGTTTAAGGCTGACTACAGATAGCTGTCTGGGAAGGATTAAGTGTGTGTGTGTGTGTGTGTGTGTGTGTGTGTGTGTGTGTCTGTGTGTATGAATGCATGCTACTAAACTGAGCTGTGAATGCCTAGGGGGGAAAAATGTAACAGAAAACAAAACAAAACAAAACAGGAGAGAAAAATATTTTTTCAAGACCTTTTCCCTTTCCTTTTCAAAACTGGAGAGGAAAAAAAAAGGAAGAAAATTTTTTACTTACAAAGCTCTTTAAATTTCCAACTATAGCAAACATGATGATATTTTGAACAAACCAAGTTATTATGTAACATATTTGCATGTTCCTAAACTAAGAATGAGCTTTAGGCTTACAGAAGAGTTGTTTTTTACATTCATGGATTCAACATTTCCAGAAGTTTGACATATCTAATAAGAAGTAGGAGGATTTGGCCAGAATTAGGCCATGCTGGGCTTTCCAAGAAACTATGACTCTATCTTTTTTTTTGGGGGGGGGAAGTGGCAAAATTTTATGATCTTCATGGAAACCAGCGTACTGAAATAGGAATAAATGAACAGCAGAGCCTGAGACCCAGATGAGGATTTTCACAATTTGTGGGAGTGATTTTTCTGCATAGAGATTTTTCTTGTCTTTAAAAAAAAATGTTTTTACAACTCTCCAAATCTTCTCTGAATTTTGCTTGCAGCCTTGAGTGTTTCTGAAACAGAAAACAATGGTCTGAGTTCTTGTAACTTTCTCCTCTCTTTAAAACTCCCTTTGCTGGCAAGGGAGTGAGGTGCAATCTAAGGCCAGGTGTACATCCAGCTGCAGAGAAAGGACAATTATTCAGCTCTTTCCATCCTCCCCAAACCAAACGTGGAGGAGATTAAGAGGGGCCTGTAGGGAAAGAAGAAAAAATAATTTATAGGGATAGCAAAACTGAACAGCTTCTACATAATAATAGAATGTTAAAACTTGAGAACTTGGATGAGGATCATCTAATCAGGGGTGGGGAATGTGACCCTCTAAGTCCTCAAGTGTGGCCCTTTGACTGAATCCAAACTTCACGGAACAAATTCCCTTAATAAAAGGGTTTGTTCTGTAAAATTTGGACTCAGTCAGAAGGCTGCACCCAAGGACCTAGAAGGCTACATGTGGCCTCGAGGCTTCAACTTCCCCACCCACACCTCCAATTTTATATATGAGGAAACTGAGGCATAAGAAAGGGACAATATTTGCCTCATGTCACATAGGGACCAGAGATTCAAACCTTCATCTTCAGACTCCAAGTCCAAGGATCTTTCCTCTATTTCATGCTGCCTCAGATGGACTTGGAAGGGCCTGTCATGGAACAGAAAAGCTTTTGTGAGGATAAGGAAGTTAAACCACAAGAGTAAATAGATAGATCAGAAAGAAGCAGCAACAATAATAATTGATATTTATATAGCACTTTAAATTTCACAAAGCACCTTACACATAATAGCTAGCAATAAAAAATAACTAGCATTTAGATTTGTGAAGCACTTTACATATGTTATATTATCTAATTTGATACAACAACTTTGTGAAGTTTTATTATCTCTATTTTAAACTTGCCCATGTTCACAAAGTTCCATAGTTAGTTGCAGTTAGAGGTAAGATTTAAACTCAGGTCTGTCCTGCCTTTCAAGTTCAACACTTTCCCACTCTATTCCCTTTCTTCTCAAAGGCAGCTTTTGGCCTTTAACAAATACAGTAGACTCTTTTTTAAAGCCTAAATGATGTGAGTAATATATTACTTAGCTAAAACAAATGAATAGCCTATGAAAGATTCATCCATATATTTATCCATCTTGCCATTTGCAGAGAATTATATAAAAGGAACTATCAAAAATTTGAGATAAATATATCACAATGTCAATGCATCTGTGATCTCATTGACTTGGATTCTCCCTGCTGTATAATTCTTGTCAATGTCATTCCATAAAGGGTCTGCCTAATACACAAAGGTATTTTCTCTAGGACTTCTAATATTTAATAATAATAATAAGAGCTAGCATTTATATAGGGCCTGCTATGTACCAGGTACTTTACAAATATTATCTTACCTCCTCACAATAACCCTAGAAGGTAGGTGCCATTATCATCCCCATTTTACAGTTGAGGAAACTGAGGCAAACAGAGGTTAAGTGATTTATCCAAAATCACACAAGTAAGTGTCTGAGGATATATTTGAATTTATATCTTCCTAACTCCAAACCCAGTGCTCTATCCACTGGACTACCTAGTTGCCTATTTTGTAGGTAACAGCACAACACGCAGGGTTTCCATTTGTAGAGTCATCACTCTCACTAAGCGGCTGACCTGACTACTTACCTACTCCTACATTTTTTGGATGATACTATTTGCACCTCTTCTTGAGTGTGTCCTCATTAACAATAAGCCACAAGCTACTTATGTCTATCACGGGACTTTCCATTGTCCTTTTCTTCATCCATAATTTTGATTCTTTAAATATTGTGGTATTCTATGATTCACAGCACATAATATCACTAGAAGAAGAGAGTATTGGTATTAAAAAGATAGGTTTTTATTTCTGCATATTTTGCACAATTCCAAATATAATCCAGTCCATTTTCTTCCTCCTTTTTTTGCTCTTAATGTGAAAAAACTTTTAGGTTCTTGATATATGCATGAGAGATAACTTATTGGAAGAGATCCTTTAATGCAATTTTGCAAATGAGTGGATTCTGAACTAGTATTATTAATAGCTGCCATGTCTTACCACTTGGCAAGGAAATTATGTGTTTCTATCTGAGCTAGTTCCTGGGCTCTTTATCGTGGTAATTAACTTACCTGAGTTGATCTTCTGTAGGAAATGGTGACAATCAGAGTTAATGTCTTTATAAATATCCATTTTCACTACCAATAGCTCTCTTGAAAAGGTAAAGTTTGAGGTGTAGTAATAGTATGCCATGTCCTCTCATCTTTATTCTTCTAATTTGGTGCTGATTTTGACCTTCGCTCTAACCAGTCAATGGTTTGACTGTCTACAGACAGTCTGAAATGAAACGACTCCAGTCTTATCCTTCCTCTTAAGACAATCAGTTTTTATGTGTGATGTTGTGTTGTGCTCATCATCTATAACCCTTTTGATTCTTTTCTGGAGGAAACTATCGATATATAGACATGAGCATTCTACGGGCCTTTGACCTTTGAGTTTAATCCCAAGCTGTGTTTTCCAATATATTTTTTACTTTCCTACTTGTTACATAGCTTGAATTGGAGTTACTGGGCATCAATGTACATGTTGCATTGATTTGGAAGATTTTGTTAAGTTCTTCATAGAATTTATCTAACTTTTGATCCTTTGCAACAGATGTTAGAACAGAGGCTTCAATAATCTCCACTGTAAGGTTTTTTGGTTGTTCTTGTGTTTTGCTTCTATATACAATAAGCAATTCAAGGCAGGATGATCAATTGCCCCCATGAAATTTTCTTTCTTGTTGCATTTGGGTATATGATGAAAACAACTTTATTAGCCTCTCCAAGATTACCTATAAGCCATTGTTCCATTTGCCTGCAACTTCCTTATGTAGTCTGGTGCCATTTATGATGAGAATGTCAATATGAATGTGGTTCATTTCCTCCAGTAGCATAACTCACTGATTATTGGATAAAGTTCTAGAGCACCAACAGAGGAGTTAATGTTTATAGATAATCTAAATACTTTTTGTTTCTTAGGACCCTCTGGGGCCCTTTCTGTCACTCTGTCACTGATTGTGGAGAATTAAAAGGGGGGCTGAGAGGATTAAGGGCCATTTTGCATTTTTCTTTGTTTCATGGATTACTTTTATTGTTATTCAATTGTCTCAGTTGTGACCAACACTTTGTGACATCATTTGGGGTTTTCTTGGCAAAGATGCTGGAGTGGTTTGCCTTTCCTTCTCCAATGGATCCAGTGGATCCATTTTGTCAGGCAATCAGAGGTCAAGTTACTTTCCCAGGGTCACACAGTTAGGAAGTATCTGAAGCTTGATTTAAACTCAGGTCCTCCTAACTCCCAGTGCTCTATCCACTGAGCCACTGGCTGCCTCTCATGGATCAATATAGCCAAAGAATTTATTGCCTTGTGTTAAGCTTCTATGTTCTTAGTTAGATTTGTCTGTCCTTAAACAGCAGATACAGTCTGACATTAAACAGATTCATGATAAATTAATATATATTTTTTAAAAATCAATGAACCATGAAACCATGGAGTGTAAGAATTTAAAGAGACCTTAGAAATTATCTAGTCTAATATCTTCATTTTATAGATGAGAAAACTCAGGTCTGAGAAGATAAATAATATATTCAAAGTCACATAGCAATTAATGAGAAATGACCAAAGTATTTTTTTAAATTTAGTTAAAAGAACCTTCTTAGAGGCTGACCAAGCCCATTTTTATGACTGATTTTAAGCAAGTTAATAAGTATTCAGACACTGTTTTAAACACAGCCAAGCAAATGCTGACACTAGTTTATAGATATAACTGGTAAGTAGCAATAAGGAATTATTCATTTCCTATTTATCTTCTAGTCTCTTCAAAGTGTTAGTTAAAGGTGAAACAAATGCCAGTTTAAAAGCCTCCTAACATGTAACATCAAAACAGTTAACATCAGCTGGTTTACAGAGCCATAAATTAAGAAAAGTGAACATTTTCAAGGTTTAAAAAAATTAATAGAAATCCCACAAATTTAGAAAGGTGAAATGCATTTCACAAAAACATTTCTCACATAAGAGCTGTATTTTAAAAACTGTAATCTGTAGACTCCTTATTCATTTGCTCACTCATTCATTTATTCAAGTATCGAAAAATCATATAATAGCAAGAACACAGGACACAGAATCTAGACCCCTGGATTCAGGTCCCAATATTGACATTTTCTGTGTGACCTCCAGCAAATCACTATCCTTCCGTAGAATTTGATAAAATGAGGAGATTGAACTATTTCATCTCCAAGGTCCCTTCTAGAAGTGTCTATGATTCTGTGATTTAGGCCCTCCTGTATGCTAGTCAAATTGGACATCAAAAAGTAACAGACAGCATTTAGTTGAGGAAACAAGACTGACCTACAACATTATCTCACTTTTATCAAGCTGAGCTAGCCATTCCCTGAAAAACTGAATAGGTGGTACTTAGAATCAGAGTGACTATGTGTGTTGGAGAAGAGGAGATTAAGGGTAGACATTAAAAGACTAGAGCTTCTCACAGGCTGGTAGACCCACAATACTCAGCATGCACTTGAACTGGCCCCATAATCAATTTTTCAATTGAGTTTAACAGCTAAAGTGATGTTTTGCAAAAACCCTTTTAACCAACCTGTGTCCTGTAAAGTATCTATTGGAAACCAGAAATGAATAGAAGTAATTGGGATTCTCCTCAAAAGCTAGATTTCATGCATCCAGCTCTACCAAGTGTTACTATGCATCTAGAGATGATTAAGTGATCATGAGACTAAGCAGTATGGTGACAGAACAGGCCAACATGGTGCAGTGGAAGGAGTGGTAGATTTGGAGAGGACCTGTATCCTCTTCTTATCTGTGTGATCTTAGATAAATTGTTCAACCACTCTAAGCCTTAACTCCTTAGCTGTAAATTAAGGCTAGACTGGATGATCTTTGAGGTCCCTTCCAGCTGTAAATCTCTGATCTTCAGAATGGAACAGTCTGAAAAATGGGAATGAGCTCTAACAAACCCTATGGCATCCCTGCTTCACTCAGAGAAACTGACTGGTATGATTTCCATTTTATGGATGATGGAATTGAGGTACAAACTTCAGTGTCTATTAAAAAAAAGCAATGGACCATCTAACAAATAGATTGGTTCACAGCTGCCTGGACAAGAATCCTCGAGCAGAAGGGTGTCTTAAGAAACATCTGATTCCCTAACTCACCTTTGCTCTATGACCTGTTCTGTGTCTTTGGGCATAAAATCCAGTTCCTTGTGCCTCATTTTCTTCATTTCTATGGTGAGAACCTTCACTCCATCCTAGCATCACAGAGCTAGTGAACATGTTATTCACCAATTAGTTTAATGCCCTCATTCTACATTTTGGCAAAGCTAAGACCTAGACAGGGACAAATGACCAGAATTCTTTCCACTATACTCTACTTAATCTTAATTTCTGTCACCATGGTGATTGCATCATTGTAAAGAAAGGTCAGCCTTGAGATTTGGGTTAATAGAGACATGGTACATTCTAGCCAAATAGACATGATACCACTAACCAAAGACCTGCTTTTTCTGCTTCACCTAAAAGCCAGAGGGGCATGTGTCTGGGCTTCTGATATATGGAACTTGGGGTCATGGTCATTGATGTTGATCGCGTTCATCCTTGCTCTAGTGCAGGGAGGAAAGGGTGCTGAAGACATACTAGGAAGACTTTTCTGTGCATCGGGAGTCTGTATAAGTGTAGCATGGAAGAGGCAGTGACAAATCTGCTTTTCTAATGATATCAAAAATCATACTCAGTGGCCACAGCAACAGCTTCCCCCAAGAAGGAAAATGATAATCTGTGCTTTTCAGGAGTAACCTTGATATCTCAGTGTTTTCTCTAGGCAAGTGGTTTGAAGTTTTTCAATCTGGGATTCATATTGTTTTCAAATATGTAAATCTCAGAAAGTACTGAACATTTTCAGACTACCTTACTGAGATGGATTCACCTGTAGAAGCTGATTTATGCCTCCCCTCCCCCCCTGCAAACTCAGCAGTTTCTAACTTTCTTCTATTGAGACCTAGCTACAGCAAATCTGCCTTAAAAAGAAAACAGAAACTGCTTGATTTGTGATAGAGAAGGGAATATATACAGCATATCCCCAAAGCCTTAGTTCAGTCATAAGTGCTTAAAGCACTTAAATAGACTCTAAAAAAACTTAAAAGACTTTTGGGATATCCCATATATGTGTCTTGCCCCATGATTGGGTTCATGTGTGTAAGCTCCTTAAGGACAAAGAGGTTTTTTTCCTTTATTATCCCTGGTTCCCAGTATAGTTCCTGACAAAATAGTAGATGATTAATAAAGGTTTGGTGATGATCACAGAATTTTAGAGTGAGGGAGAACCTTAGAGATACAGAAGTATAGCTTCAAAAATAAGATCGGTAATAATCCTGCTTTTTTATATGCTGCATAAGGCTTTTCCTAGTCCCCCCAAATGCTAGTGCCCTATTACCCTGAAACTATTTTGTATGTGTTCTCTATATACCTCTATATGGGCATGTGGTCTTCTTCCAGAAAGAATCAAAGCAATTTCAAAGCCCACTGCAAATATAGTGGCACTGAGTAGCCATCTGAAAACATTTCCCCACTTTAAGCCTATACTGGGTTTTCTTTTGTTTCCTTGGACCTATTCTTTGATTAGTCACAGATTTAAGAGTTGAAAACAGAAATTTGAAAACAGTTCATTTGAATGTTTGCTACTTGGGAGACCTTACAACCTAATGTTCACCTTCTCAGTTGGGTCAGGAGCCATAGAATGGACCCTCATTGAAGGCAGGAATTGTTTTGCTTTTGTCTTTGTATTCCCAGCATATAGCACTGTTTGACATTAACACAGTACACAATGCAGCGAGTTTAACATTAACCACACAGTAGGTCCTTAATAAATGTTTGGTTGGTGGCTAAACAATCCCTTTCTGGAGTCTTGGGCTCTACCTCCAGCCTTTCTCCTCTACAATCCATCTTCTACAAGCTGCCAAAATAATATTCCTAAAGCCAAAGTCTGACCATACTACTTCTCTGGTCAAGAATTCTAAAACAGTTGAAGAGGAGAACATTCCAGGTTTGGGGGACAACCAGAGAAAATGCCCAATGCCCAAAGATGGAGTGTCTTGCTTGTGGAATAGCCAGGAGGCCAGTCTCACTGGATCCAAGAGTATATGTCTGGAAGTAAGGTGTAAGAAGACTGGAAAGGACAAACATTAAGAAAGGAATGGATGTGGATATTGGAGACTTGACATGGAAACAGAAGGAAAAATGTTTTGAGGTCACTCTGCAAAAATGAATGGTTGTCTTCCAAGGAAACACACAATATCATCTATTCCTCCAGTTCTAGACTATGTTACTCTCACCACTAGAAACAAAGACACTTTGGGAGATGATTGCAATGTCCTGGATCAGACCTTCATTACCCAGCAAGTTCCACTCAGAATCTAGTGACCTTGTCCTACCTAATATTCAAAAAGGACCAGATCATAGCATATCATAATAAGATGTCTGTAATCTGACCAATTTCATATCATTTTAACCTTTTCCAGTGGAGATGCTCACACACATTTCTCCTTTTTCTGGACAGGGAGCTCTTGATGGATCTATGGTGAGAAATAAAAGCAAAATTATGAGAGAAGGGAAATTTATTTTTTTAAAGTATGGCCACACTGAAAAAGGAACACTGTATTTAACATAAGATGAATTATGCCCCCCTTAGTGTGACATGTAGTTTTAGCTTGGCTGTTTATTTTAAAAGACACAAATGTATACATCCTTATGTGCTGGTAAATATAATATGACCTTCTATTATTACCCAGCCTGTGAGTTGATGGAATGAAACATGTGAGCAAATACATGCATGGATATACATTCCTACACATTACAGGCTCTCACATATACACCTATATTTACATATATTGCCAATCAAACCACACAGTTTTATGAGAGGATAAAACAAGGAGCAGTCTACCTTTCCAAATACAGATCTTCATTACCCTAATTAAAAGATAGCACTTCAGAAGAGAAAAAAAAAAGAATTCTAAGTGTCTCTATTACCTCTAAGATATAAACTACAAATGCCTCACCAGTCATTTAAAACTCTTTGCAGACTTGCTCTAACCTATCTTTCCAGACATTTCACATTATCCTCCTTTATGCATTTTATGTTCTAACCAACCTATTCTACTTTCTGTTCCCCAAACTCGACATTTCATTTTTTGTCTGTATGCCTTTTCACGTGGTATTATTCCAAATGCCCGAACTTTATTTTCTTCTCATTCCCCCCTCTAAGAAGCCTTCATTTCTTTTAAGGTTCATTTCAGTCACCAGTTCCCAGAAAACTTATGTGCCTAGTTGTTAGTACTTTCTCCCTCAAATTATTTTGCACATACTTTTCTGTGTAAATATATTTCTCCATACTCATTCTTAGTAGTACATAATCTCTTTGAGTGAAAAGATTAGTTTTCATTTTACCTTCTCTGCATCCAGCACAGTACTTTACACATTTGTTGTTGTTCAGTTGTTTTCAATTTTGTCCAACTCTTCATGACCCCATTTGGGGTTTTCTTGGCAAAAATGCTGGGGTGGTTTGCCATTTCCTTCTCCAGCTCATTTTACATGTGAAGATACCGAGGCAAACAGGGTTAAAAGACTTGCCCAGGGTCACACAGCTAGTAAGTGTCTGAGGCCAAATTTGAATTCAGGTCTTCCTGACTCTGGGCCTGGCACTTCTATCACACACACACACACACACACACACACACACACACACACACACACACACACACACACGCGCACACACACACACACCATTGACAGATTAGTACTTTGAGGCCCTAAGAAGCCAAGTGATGTATTCAAGGTCACTCAGCTGACTGGTAACATAGTACAAAATAGAATCCATATTTTCAATGCCTAACCCAGTGATTTTTCAATGAACATACTGCATCAGATAACTTTCTTGACTTTGACCATGAGGGTCTAGGGCATAGTCTCCTTCCCTATGTCATGTCAGTCACCCCTCAATTCTAATCCAAGCATCATTATTTTTCAAGTCTTTGTACACCTTTAGTGGGTCACATCCTCTTCTTGTGGTCTGAAAAATCAGACTTTTTCTGGGAGGAGTTGGTGGGCTAGAATTTTAGACCAATACCTTAAAATCACATGATTCCAATTGCTCAAACTTCTGAATTTGTCTTTTCTTTTTCCTGACAGTATGTTTCTGTTTCTCCCTACACACACACACACACACACACACACACACACACACACACACACACTCACACACACACAACTGACTCCTCTCCCATACAACATACCCAGAGCAAAAGGGACTTGCATTTATCAATTATGTAACAACCAAAGGAGAATCAATCAGCCAGTCAATCAATAAGCATTTATTAAGCACCTACCATGGTCCAGGCACTGTGCTAGGCATTAGGGATACAAATATAAAGATTTAGGTCCTTCCTAGATGTGGCTTTGAATTTAAGTTTTAAAAGCCTAACTTTGTCATTTTTAATGTACAGAAACCATTGATTTATTACTTCCCTTCGTTTAAGACCAGAGTACTTGGCAGGTGGAGCTTTAGGAATCCTTGGAATAGCCTTAGAGGTAACTAGAATAGTACTAAGCTTATGAAATAGGGACCTAAGACAGCATTGGGACACGTGACTTTATCCAGTTGCTTTTCGTGTCAATCAGCTAGAGCCTCACATGGGGAACCCAGCTCTCCCTTCTTCCAACTGTGGAAGGGGAGTGAGAGAGAGAGAGAGAGAGAGAGAGAGAGAGAGAGAGAGAGAGAGAGAGAGAGAGGATGTTGTAGCCACCTTATCCAACTAGACAGGATTCTAGTCCTGCATTCCAAAAGAGTAAAAAGTGGCTTCAACCTGCTTCCACTAATACTTCAAATAGGATAGCAGCTTCTGGAAATAAAAGTTCTTTTCTAAGGCAGGATAGACAACAATCTGTAACTTTGTTCAAATTCTTTCCAACTTGCACTGATTTTGTGCAATAACAAAGAAAGATACTGAAATCCCATGGAAACTGAGAATCATAGGATTTTAAAGTTGGAAGTGCCCTCAAAAAAACTTGTCAACCCCTTCATTTTCCAGAGAAGGAAACTGCAGCCCAGAGAAAAGTTGATCTACCCAAGGTTCCACGGATAATAAGCAGCGCGTCTGGATTTGAACCCATGTTTTTTCCAGTAGCTATAGTTGTCTCCCTGGAACCAAGACACAAATAGAAAGGTGGTTCTGACCGCGGAAAGAGAATTGTGAACGAAACAGAAAAAGAACTGAGGAAAGAGAATGTCTAGAAAAGTCCAAAAGAAAAGAAGGAAAAAAGAGGAATGAGAGTTAAAAGATAATGAATAGGAAACGGGGGGGGGGAGCGGGATAAGCGACTAAGAAAATAGAGAGAAAGCAGAGAAAGCAGGAAGCAAGGAAGAAGAGAAGAGACTTCTGGAAGGAAAAACAAAGTCAGACGAGAAGAGCAGGAAAGAAGGAAGGCAGGAAAGCTATAGTCTTCCTGGTAAGTGGGGCTTCTTGCATGGGGCGAGGGGGATGGGGGTTGGATTTTCCTGTCCAAGGGCTCCCTGGACCGTGCTGTCCCGGGCCGCCTCTTCCCCCCGGTCCCCTGTGTGTGTACCGGCCGGGAGGCTCGCAGGGGAGGGAGGGGAGTGGGTGGGACGCAGGGTGCTGACCCCGCAGCGCCGTGCAGTCTGCGCCGGGGCCGGCAGCGCCGCGCAGGCGGCCCCTCCGCCTTGCCTCGGGCCGCCTCGGGTTACGCAGCGGCCGTCAGCGCGCACCTCATTAATAAGATCTGACAGGCCTCCAGCCCCGGCCCGGACCGAGGCCCATCCATCAGGCTTGGGGCGCGTTGTAAAAGGGCTGCGCCTGGGGAGCCGCGCTTTGACGAGGTTAAGCTGGACTTGGCGCACAGCCCGGGAGGCCGCGTCTGGCCGACAGGCTGAGTTTAGGAGGCTAGCCGAGGCTTGGGGCATCCTCTCTGGTCGCAAGAGCCAAAGAGCCGTCTTCGCTCACTGCACCTTCCGCTTAAGACAGGGAAGAGTATTCTCGTGGTGCCGACAGTGAGGCCTCCTGGGGGATGAGACCTAACTTGGTAGGGAGGATCTTCCCAGCCAAGGGGCCCCGCACTCAGGGCTCTGAGGTCCAGGAGCCAGCCCCAGACACTCGGTCAGTCCTGCTCCCTGGTTTCTTTAAGCCCTTATTTCAGAACTGATAATGGAGATGTATGTGAAATCATGATTGTGTGATGTTAGGTATATGTACCTAAAATGCGTTTAGTTAAGCTCTGATTTGATTGTTTCAGTATGGTAGATGATGATGATTCAGTATAGTAGATGATGATGATGATGATGATGATGATGATGACAGAAACTGTAACATGTCCCTGTATGTTGCAGAAATGTCACCTACCAGATGCCTCAAAAAACAGGATTAGCACGGCCACATTTTTTGATTAGAAGCTATCTTTCATGAACTAACAGAATATAAATTCTCGTTCATGCATACATAATACAGATGAATGAAAATTCAATCAATAAACTGTTTTGAAACTAAAATACTATCATTGATAAAACTATTGCCCACTACGGCACAGACACAACTGATGCTTTTTTAAAAAAAATAACATTTTAATAGATCTTACCACACAGAATACTTAAAATCTCCAAGTTATGTGGAATTAAAAGCTTTCAAAATATAGTCAGTAGAGGAAGTCAAAACCATGTTGGAATAGGATGAGGAAAATATCATCCCCTTCCTTCTGTCTCTTTTTGAGCTATTACCTAAACTAAGTGGGTCTACAGATGATAAGAAGGTTACTTCCCAATAAGTTTTTTTATTATTACAAAAAAGCAATGCCTTTAGCCAATTAATCAACAAATGTTTATCAAATGTCTATTATATACTAAGAGTCAGCTTGGCTGTAAAATATCATACTGGCTTCTGACCCTCAGCAAGTCACTTAACCTATTTATGACTTGAGGCTCTAGGATCTCTTAGAATCTAAGTTGTAAAGAAGATACTTATCTGTACTGGTAGCTGAAGTTTCCTCACCTGGGACTTCCTTTAACTAATGAAATCACAAGTCCAGTCTCTATCCCTGTATGCTAGATAGTGTGCTAAGTACTGAATCTAGAAAGATTAAAAGAAGAAATAATTCATTCTCTCAACAAGATTATATTCAGTTGTGGGGGAAGGTTGTTGGTAAAAGAAATGATGTGTGCATATATCAATATATACAGAAAATACAGATTATGTCTGGATAATAGAAGAATCTTAGTATAAATGCTTGTCCCAGGACTATTTCTACCTAAAGCCCATCCCCTCCAAAATAAGAATAAGATCATAATGAACAAACAACAATGCCTTGTTATACATTACCTCATTTAATACATGTAGGAGAGTGTATATAGAGGGCCCACAATTCCTAAAGACCCACCTATTTCTCTTCTTCAAGAAAAGATAAGGTCCTTTCCAAAATTTAAGATTCAGTGTTACTGTGATGACATGTAAGGCAGAACAGAAAATGTGAAAAATAATGCCTGTAAGTACAATTTATAGGGTCCCTCAAAGGA